TTTTTGATCTTTTTTTTCCATGTTTTTTCATGTCCTTGCATATAGAAAAATTCGATCTTCTGCATCACAGAATTTATGCCTTCTGGGAAGGAAGATTCAGTAATTTTCCTTGTGCTAATTTTATACAGGTTACTGTAATCGGACGTCAGAGCCAGAGTGAACAGAAACATGCAAATATTTACGTTAGAATGTGCATCACTGACATTGTCCAAAATAGTGATGTATGATATATATACTGCATGTACACGTTGCACATCAATGCATATATGTGTACCTTCACAATCACATTCTAAAATGAATAAATAAATATGAAAGTTACAGTTCTATTATCTTGTTGTTTTACTCTTACTGATAGTTCCATGATCTACTCATGTAGAAATTACAATGAACTTGAATCCTCAACTTTAAAACAATTTAATTCGAATTTTTTTTTTATCTTTGGATAGTCGGATCTGTGCGGGAACTACGTTCATTTTTAGTTTAATTTCAACAATGTTTCTGAACGTACATCGTCTAACGGCCATCATGATTATTTCAGGCAGTTTCGGTAATCCATGATCATTGTAGGAAAGAATTTTCAGAATAAAAGTCAGCTTTCAGTCTTGGCTACAAACTGTAATATAAAACGTTCTCGAAGAAATTACTTTTTCGAAAAATAGACGAATTCAACGACCAGCTACACTATGATCTTAATCATAACCTCAATATAACCTTAATCAAGATTACTATGAAATTTCACCTTAATCGAATGTCACTATGAAAAATTATTGCTTAAAATTAACTAAGTATGTATAATATGTAATAAAATAATACATAGACACATTATACATTATATATGTACATGTAGCTATATATTACACATTATTATACGCGCTTAAATTAAATTCTAAATAATAATAATTGAAGATGAATAAATATAAATAATCATATTCCTATGTTTCTTTATGCGTTTTTGATAATTACAAAAACAACTAATCAAAAATTAATTGAAAAAGACCAATTATAGTCTCCCATTGTTGCACGTTTACTCTCGATCCGTTTCCGTTCTCGCCCCAATTACTCGCACAACTTTTACGTAACAACGAAATTCTTTATGCAATTAACCCTGTTTCGCTTCCCAGGATTTGGTTGGAATTCGCCGGTTGATCGAGCCATCATCGCACGAAACACAGAAAGTGTGCGTGAAACATTCCCATTTAGCGAGGCCTGTGCACTTTCAGGACGTCTTGTTCCATTTATAAGCGGCACAACACAAGTGCACACGTGCGAGAAGATGAAGTGGACGATGAACGTAGAGCCTCGGCAATGGTCAGAATATCTCAGTCGTTTCACGATCTTCGTGCTGAACAATATCCGCATACAAAGCAAAAAAAAAAACAAGAAGTGTGCAAACAAACGAATCGTCATCTTATTTTCCTAAAACCGACCAAATTGCAGTGGAAATTTTTCGGAAATTACAGATTTTGAAGTTTAACACTGAGTAGGAGTTCTCGAAATATGCTCGCTTTAAAAGAAGTTTAAAAGAAGTTGGTAAAAACGAGTAGGAAAGAATCCGAAGAATTTGATCTTGAACTTCGAATTGATCTTTATTATCTTTCTACGAGATATATATTGGTAAAGGAAACAGTGAAACGTCGAGAGTGCAGAGTGTAAAAGTGAGCTCGCGAAGAATTCTTGCTTGCTCGATACATTAATGAACGTTATAATAGACGCGTGTGTGTATTATATTTACGTAAGTATTTACTTCGTGAATCTGTCTGCTTTCGTATGCAACTGTAGACTTTTTTTTTTTAAACGTTTGCAACTGTGGACTTTTTTTTTTAACGTTTGCAACAGTGTCAAGTGGAATAAGTTTGAATGTCAGGCGAGAAGATGCTACTTCTATCGCTTGTCAAGGGAAGCTTCGATTTTTTTTTCCTTTTTTCCTCAAGCGGCGTTTAAAGCTGAACCTATGAAATGAAAATTCAATAAACTGTCAGATTGAACATAAAATATCTTTTGTCCATTGAGCAAGTTGTCGCAAAGTATTAACCATTTAACAATATAACATAACTGATTCACCACTCATCTTCAGATTACAGAAAAATGTATAATTGCACCATTAACGATGAAAAATTGTCGATATTTTTGTCTATGCTATTTTGTCTATTACATTATTTCTCAAAGATACATGCATTATTCAAAAATCAAAGATAATCTTACATACGTAGTTGTGAAAATGCAAAACAAATGATTTCAATATTAGACGAAAACTAGACAAGATAGGATCCAGGGGTCGAAATCATCCTCCCTGTTCTTGAAGATATACTGTTCGAATTTATGTTTCATCTAAGAAAATATCTGTCCCCGTTGGCATTCCTATGAAAAGAAACGTTACCCTTAGGGACATTTTTATAAAATGTTTCCACGGAATATGATATTGAAGACATTTTGGAATTTATATAATCAAAATTCCACGGAAGCAAGTTACTTTTATTAAAAAAGTTCCCATAAGATAAATTAAAATAGCAAACTATTGCTGCTTTATAGGTCATTTAATAATATAATATTGTATTATTGAAAATTCAAATGTGAATTAATGTAATAGATCAATTAATCAATGTTAAAACGTAAATATATCATATTTGTATTGATTAATCTCCCTAAGTTTATAATAATTCATTCTAAAAAGTATGTACACGAATTTATTTTACAGACAAATAACATACTCAGAATATGGATTTAATATTGTAGTATAGCACATAGTCATTAAATAGTATTCAATATTCGTTGCAATAATTGAACACTTTTT